TTGAGAAATCACGATAATGAGGTAGAAAGGCGTACAAAACTTAGTAGATGCTCCACATTCTCTTTGTAGCGAAAGCTACCATTCTTTTGGCCACTTATTATCTCTAGAATCAATACACCATAGCTAAAGACATCTGATTTTACTGAGAATTGCCCGTATCTTGCATATTCTGGTGCCATGTATCCACTGTATGTCATTGTCATCAATATAATCATTAGTATATCCCTTGACAATCATATTCAACACTTTCTTGTTTGTTATGGATAATAATCTATATACCCATGCCATAATTTGATACTTACCGTGTCCCTACTATTCTATTTGTATTGACTTGAGTGTGATCTGAAGCAAATAGTCGTGCCATGCCAAAATCAGATATTTTAGGATTCATCTCTAGATCTAAGAAAATGTTACTTGGCTTGAGATCACGATGAATAATCCGTTGTTGAGATTCTTCATGAAGGTAAAGAAGACCTCGAGCAATGCCTTCTATTATTTTGATGCGAGTTTCCCAATCTAATTGTGAACGTTTAGAAGGATCTACACAGTCAAGTTAAAATAAATTAGTTAAAAGTATAGTTAGCATAACAATTTACGAAAGTCATGTATGAAAGAAAAGAAGTAACGAATTTTTGGCTCAAGAAAATTGACTCACCAAATATGAAGTAGTCAAGACTTCTATTAGGAAGAAACTCATAAATTAATAGCCGTTCATTTTGTGTTAAGCAAAAACCAACGAGTCTTACTAAATTTCCATGCTGAAGTTGGGCCATTAATGACACTTCATTCTTGAACTCAATATGTCCTTGCCCAGAATTCCTAGACAATCTTTTTACTGCAACGTCTTGTCCATTGGAGAGCCTCCTGAAGTCGACCAACAACTAGGATACATCAATATTCAACCTTGAGAACACACACACACACACACACACACACCCCCAACGTGAGTTTTATCTCTCTCTCTATACCTTGTAAACATGTCCAAATCCACCTTGTCCAAGCTTGTTTTCATCCGAGAAGTTATCAGTAGCAGCTTCGATGGTCTCAAATGCACATTGTATTGACTCAGCAAGTTCAGTGGCATTGTTAACTTCAGATTCGCCTAGAAATAGGAATTTAAGCTAGTTCTTCAAATGAAATTTAGTTCAGAATGTACCAAGATTAAATTTTGCATGAGAGAATAAATGAAATAGAGATAAAAAAGTGAGATTCAACTCTTTCTCTTCTTTCTATTTTCCCTTTCGTAACAGGATCCTAATAAATAGTGGATTTGAATTCCCAGATGTTCAGGAGGAAAAAATGGAAGACAAGTGTAAAAGAAAAGGCGAACCCCACTTCTGGAAGGTTCATGGTCACAAAAACTGAAATTTGCTATTGCAAATGAAATGGACGAGGAAGAGGGAGAAATTAGAACCTCAAGCAGGTCTTACTTTCCTCCTCTTTCTATCTCTTTTCAAAAGCTGAAAGAAATTTAACCACGCTTTGATTTCCATCTAGATTGTGGGCAATAAGAAAATCTATATGTAAACTTACTTTGAGTATGTCTTCTTCGGTTCATTCTTTCTCTTACAAAGACCCAAACGATATAAAGCAGCACGATAGAGGCAAGAAAAGGCACAACTATAGCGACAACTGTTAGTAATGTCTTGTTCTTTCCTGAAAAGAAAAGGTTGCCAAAAGAAAATCTTCAAGAACAAAAGTTTTGAAGCCTAATTTAATGTCTGACTGTGAAAAAAATGCACCCTTTCCTTTCATAAATGGAAAGGAAAGCCCCAGCAGAAAGTTATCATTTGAGGTGGAGATGATGATTACAAGAAAACAGAGAGATGAAAGCAGAGTTGACGAAGCAGAAATCTTTCTCCATCAAACTTCTCGTCATCTTGCCAGGGGACCAAATTTTCGCAGGGTAGGTTGACTGGTACATACCTTGTGACGTTGACGACGGAGAAGAAGGTTTTGGCGAACCATCAGTTACAGGATCATAGAAGAGGTAATGCGATACCAAATGGAGCAGAGAATCAGATTCCAACGTCTCTGATATTGAACAATTTGAGTATCGTAGCTTCCTTCGGATTTGGACACAACTTTGGGAGAAGAATTGAGGCATTCCTGAGGCAACTACGGCATTCGTCTTGCGTAACCCCACCTCTGCACAGCCCAATCGCATTAACTCGGTCAGGATTTAGGCCGTGAGAGATATTGATCAAGTGATAGCTGTTGATTTTTGCGTCGGAAGTGAGCTGTAAAAGAAGGATATTAAGGTTTGTTTGGAAGGTGCTTGTACTTGTGTAGTAATCTTTGGAATCGAAACAGTGGCTATCTCGGGAATCGGGAGTGCCGGCGACGAGAAAGGGAAGATGAGAAAGGAGGGTAACGGAAATGGTAGAAATTTCCATATAGAGTGGGTGAAAAAAATGAGCTTTCATCACTTAAATGGAGAAATGTACTGCTTCTCTCTCGTCGACTTTTTCCGGACACTTGATAGCCATTGTCACCGTCATTCATTGGATGGGTGTCATTCATTGGATGTGTTGTCTGCAGCGAAGTTGCTTTGAGCTTGCTTACCGATCACATTCAGAATTTAAGGTAGTATTATATATTATATTTATTAAAATAAAAATTTATAAAATTTTAATAAATTTTTTTTAATATAATCTAAATTTAATTTAAAGAATCTAATTTAATATTATAATTTATATATGTTGGTTATTCAAATGTACTTTATACAGTTTAAATTAATTAATTTAAATAATTAATATATAATAATAAAAATTTTAATATTAAATTGATCCCTTAAAATTAAATTTAAATCAAAATAAATATAAAATAAAAATATATAATATTGCTTTACATTTGGACCATTCAGATGGTTCAAATTTTATCACATGATGCTCCTCCTCATAAACTGTGATGAGCTACGAAACCAAAGTCATATCTAGAATCGTCTTACTTTGTTTTTATTCTCCTCGGCTTTCTCCCGTTGTGACAATAGTTCAATGTATTATTTGCTAATCAAATGATATTTTAATCATTTCATAATTAATAATGATTTTAAGTCATGTTTAGTATAACAGAATCAAAACTTAGAAAATAAAATTAGAACTGAAATTCGTATATCAATTTGTTTGGTATATATGAAAACAAAGTTTGCTTTTTATCAATATAATCTCTTATAATATATTTTGTTTTTTTTTATTTTTTAACACTTCGGAGCCTATCTTTTTACCTAAATAATTATATTCATTTTCATTTTAAACTAAAGGGATTAAATTGAATTCGAATTTAAGGGACTAAATTAATAGAAATTAAATTTGAAGGATTAAAAATTACATTATACCTTATTTTTATTTTAAAATTTCCATCATGTTGCAAGAAAGGTTCTCCCCACGATATTCATACACTAAAGGATTTGAGTACATTAATTGGTAATTCGAGCCAAACTTGATGAATCAGCTCAAATAAGTTTGAAAAATTTTAAGGTCAAACTTAAAAGTTTAAAAAATTTTCTTTGCTCCAAGCTTATTTAGCTTATTCAGGCTATGCAAATGAGCTCGAACAAATTTGTGCCATGTCCGAACCAGTCCAGAATTGATTTAGTTGGAACTAGGGCTGCACAAAGGACTGGACGGCACTGGACTTCACCCTAACCCGAAGTCCGGTCTCTTTCATGAAAAAGACTGGGTTAGGCAACCCGTAGTCCAGTCTTGTCCAGTGATAACCCGAAGATTAACAGGACCGGACTTGGTCCATAGGACTGGGAGACTAGTCCTGTCAGTCCAGTACTCACTTAGCTTTTTTTCCCTCTTTTTATTCTATGAGAGGCAATAATCCATTCCAACATAATAAACTCAATTAAGATAGTAAAAATACTTATAATAATAATAAATCCATAATAATTTCTAACAATAAGAAAAAAAATATTTTTGTTATAGTCTAAATTATTTAAATTTATAAACTTTAATAAAAACAGTACTCAAAAAATTCAACAACACTATATTACAATAACAATTTAGAAACAAACTTAATAAATCTTTATGCAATCATCTCCTTAGCATCAATTACACTTTAAACATTTGTCAAAAATAAATTAATTATAATTATAATAAAAAAAATTAATAGGACTGGACTGGACCAAGTGGTCCGGATGCCTGGTCTCTTGTCCAGTCCAACCCGAAAAAATAGTCTGGTCTTTTTAGTCCTTTTGGTCCTGAAGGACCAGTGACTATACAGACCGAACAAGACTGAGACCATCTCGGGTTGGACTGGACCAGACAGGACTGGGAGACTTTTGCACAGCCCTAGTTGGAACACTCGAATTTACTTTGTGTTTTTTTAAAAATATATATTAGGGTATTTTAAATCAAATTTAAGTAAGCTCGGCCGGTTCCAAAGCACATAGCATCGTGGCCTTGTGTAGGCGCCTTGGCGGGCCCTAAACAGAGCAAACATTTGGTCTAAGAACCTAGGCATGCTCTGCAATTTGTGATTTCAAGGTGGCAATACATGCTCTCACATGAAATGGGGCTTATAAATTTAAAGAACTCTCTTAAATCTCATTTAACAATCTAGTCTTTCAGATAAGCTTTCTCTCATGATTGTCTCCTTTTGGTCACGACACATTGATAGATTTGTTGAGGAACCTATGACAATCATCTATCTTAGCGTTCATGTTTCGTTCATTTGCTTTGACATTAGTTTTCGGGCAGAGGAGAAATTTTGGAGACCATTGTCAATTTTTCAGAGGACTGCGTGTTTCTTATCAGTGCCTTTGCTAAATTATGGGTGACTGTCTGGTAATGAATAACAACTTCACTTGATAACAGAATGTAGTTGGCATGGCATACAAACGAAAGTGACAGTGACAATTTCTGCAAGTCAACTAACCTTGAATAATCAGAATGACTACTGTTTTTATTCACTGGATGACCTAGTAGAGTTTGTTATGGATGGAGTTCTTGGTATACCCAACCTGCAAAGAGATAATTTCTGCACTGTTCCCATGATATGAAATTCTTTATTTACAACACAGAGAACTTTTGAATTAAAATACATTACTTGCATCTTTTCCTGTTTATGCACTGAAAAATTCTATGATTTTCTTTTTTTAAAAATAAAGCACTGTTATATTGGTGGAATAACAAATATACCAGCAATTATGATCAAGAATGTCACCTCTACAACTCAAATTATCGAGGACATATATCAGTTATTGAGGCCTCGTTTACTGATAATGATTCTACAGATTTTCTTTTTTTCTCACCGGAACTTGTTGACATAGATCTGTAATTCCCAGATTGTCTTCCTGATAAACTTGTGTCATTCATAAAAAATGCAGGCTTCATGGGCGCTTGAAGTGAGAAAGAGTGACTGCTGAGCATAAGTACAAGAGAAGCCATGGTTGGTCTCTTAGCAGCTTTTTCTTGAGCACACAGTAAACCGACGTGAATGCATCTCATTATTTCATTTCTTGAGCCATCTGTTAATGTGGGATCTATAATGTTAGAGGCTGTCCCTTTCCTCCAGCTGTTCCATGCCTGCAAGCAACAAGTTCCTCAATTTTAGAAAGTATTAGTCCAAAGCTTAATTTATGTTTCCTGTAGACCGATAATGAGTAATTTCTTAAACTCAATTTCTAAGACAAGGAGGATAAATAATGAAAAGGCAGAAAACATACCAAACTTGGTAGATGCTCGACATTCTCCATATTATGTAAGCCACCATTCTTCTGGCCACTCACAATCTCTAGAATTAGCACGCCAAAACTGAAGATATCAGATTTCACTGAGAATTGTCCATGCCTTGCATACTCTGGTGCCATATACCCACTATATGTTAAAGTGATCACATACAATAAGTAACACTTCTCTTGACTATCATATTCAAGTTTTTTCTTCTTTCTGGTCTAGGGCACTTAGAAACTAATTAGACATGCCATGTTTTGATACTTACTAGGTCCCCACAACTCTATCCGTATTGGCTTGAGTTTGATCCATAGCAAATAGTTTTGCCATGCCAAAATCTGATATTTTTGGATTCATGCTTGCATCTAAGAGAATATTACTTGCTTTAAGATCACGATGAATAATTTGTTGTTGAGATTCTTCATGAAGGTAAAGAAGGCCTCGGGCAATTCCTTTTATAATTGTGTAGCGCGTTTCCCATCTCAATTGTTCACGTCTGATAGGATCTATATTTCAGTCCAAGAGAAACATGCAAAGTAGAGTCAGAATATTTTCTTATTTAGTCTGCAAAAAAAGATAATGAACATTGTTTCCCATGTAGAAATAGAATGTCTAATTTACCAAATATAAAGTGATCGAGACTTTTATTAGGAAGAAACTCATATACTAGAAGCCGTTCCTCTTGTTTCAAACAAAAACCAAGGAGTCTAACTAAATTTCGGTGTTGAAGCTTGACCATTAATTGTACTTCATTCTTAAATTCAATGTCCCCTTGTCCAGAATCCCTAGACAACCTTTTTACTGCAATCTCTTGTCCATTGGAGAGCTTTCCCTGAAAGTAGGCCAACAAGTATCAGAATTTGACTGGAGATGATGGGTTCATAATAATGTTAGTGGTGTATCTGTCTACCTTGTAAACTGGTCCAAATCCTCCTTGTCCGAGCTTATTTGCATCAGAGAAGTTATTTGTAGCAACTTCGATGGTGTCAAATTCGAATCTTATTGACTCAGTATGCTCAATTGAATCATCAGCTTCAGTCTCACCTATGCAAAATGATTTTAAGCCTTTTTCCTTAGATATTATTTAATTAAAGCTGTAATTAAGTTCAGCAGAACAAATGGCTTCAAAAAGTCAAAAGAAATTTAATAAATTTTGACTTTGCTCAACATTGTCAAGTTGTCAGCAATAATTGACTTGTACTTACTTGGAAATTTTCTTCCTTGCTTTCTCACTCTCACACAGATCCAAACAAACGCAAGCAGCACAACCAAGACGGCAGTAGGCACAACAATGGCAATGATAATCTCTGATTTTTTTCCTGGAAAAATAAAATCCCTGTTCATTGAGAGAGATAATGGCAAAGAACATTGATTTTGAAGCCTTACTTATTCTCCAGGTTTCTGCTAAAGTAAAAACTACCCATTCCTCCCGGCTGGAATGGGAAATCTCAACAAAGGGAAAGTTTTGGAGGTTTATCTGCTAATGAAAGCACCTTTTGAGGACGTTGTGGCAGCAGATGGAGGAGGTGATGGAGATGTAGTGTTGTTGGATGGAGGAGTTGATGGAGATGTAGGAGGAGGAGGAGGAGGAGGAGTAGGAGACTCTTCCGGCGACGGTGCTGATAATGGTGCATCAGCTGCACTTGCATAGAATCTGCTACTTTCATATCTAAAGTTACAGATTGGCGTAATAACCCTACCACCTTGCCTGTTATTACAGCAATTTGGAATTTGCGAGATAGCCCAAACCAAGCAGTTGTTGCATTCTGACCCATTCAAATTAGGTGTGCACTGAACGACAGCATATATTTTTTGAAGGTCAGGTCCGTCTTCATTTCCTGCAGCAAACTTTAGACTTGACTCACCAGATGCAGCTCTGCTACTCAGATTTCGCAGCAATCCTGTTAGGACCTGATTGTACTTGTTCCAATTTGTTGCAGTGTTCACGCTCCACATATGGACAGTAACTATAGGATCTACCTTATTGCCTAATATTGAGGTGTCTGAGTAAGATAACATGCATTCATCGTACATCCCAAAAGCTTCCTTCTGATCTGGACATAAAAGTGGCAGCAGGACTGATGCATTTTTAAGGCAGCTATGGCAGAAATCTGACATAACATCTCCCCTGCATAACCCAACAGTGTAGACTGTATTTGGGTAATTACCATGAGAGAGATTGTAGAAGCCATAATCTATTTGTTTGTTGGAAGTGAGATTTGATAAAATGGTATTGAGATTGGTCTGGTAGGTGCTGTTTGCTGTGGTGTTACTGCTGGTGTTGCAATAATAGTATCGAAATTCTGGTTGGCTGGTGGCTTGATATACTTGAGTGACAAGAACACACAGAAATTGAAACAATGCTAAATAAGTAGCTCTGGCCATTGAACTTGTCTGAGTATTATAGCTTTCAGGTAAATTTAAACTCTTTCAGCCGGGGGGGGGGGGGTTCTTGTAAAGCACCCATCAATTTTATTAATAACATCTTTATCATTGCAGATTTGACTTGACTTTTTCTTGGTGGAGCCACATTTTCGGATGCCAAAGGCAGAGTTATTTGTGACTGTCTTGCCGCGTAAACTCATGTCCCTGTCAAACAATGTACCAAAAAAATAAAAACCATCTACACCGTAGAAAGTATTGAAGAAGTCATAAATATGGTAATTTATTTATCAAACTCAGAAAAAAAAATTAAAATAGGAACATAAAATGTGTATGGTTTGGTTCAACAATCTATTAACCGATATTATTGACTATTGTAGATTGACTTCTCTAGTTCCCTGTCATCCAGATAATAAGTGTAAAACCAAAAATTTTGGTGCGGGGTTAGTAAAATGCCCTCTGCGCAGACCAAGCATTTTCAAATTAACTTTTTACCAATCGAGATCTTTATTATCCTCCAAAATGAACTTATATAATATATATATATATATATATATAAGGAATATATAAAAAATATAAATGAGAAATATATTTCACAAAAATTTTTATTTTTGTGTATTTTTTAAATGTATGAATATAGAAAATTTAATATATATTTGTCACATGCCATGATGAAGAACTGTGCCTTTATTTACAAGTATTATTGATATGATCATTATTTTTATAAAATATTGAAAAGTATTATCAGCAAGGGAGTTTTCTGTGACTGTCTCACCGCGTAAACATAGGGCCAGTCGAGCAATAGAAGTGGCGTGTCTAATAATCAAAATCGTATGGTCAACAAAAAAGTCAAGCAATATAAGTGGCATAAAAATTAGGATTTGAATCTTCAGTTGAGGTGTGTAAATTTCTGTAAAAAGTTTTTAATATTCTTATCATTTTATTTTTATAAAATATAAAATATTTTTATTTTTTTAAAAGGGCAAACTTCACTGAAATTTATTGACTGTAATTTTAGTGAATTTAAATTCTAAAAATTATTGTGAGGTTAAAGCATTCAGGAACTGTTCAACCTGTGTTTCAAGTCTTTTTGTTGAAAAGTGCGGAGCAATCCGGCTTACACAACTCATCTTTGAAATTTGTCACGGATATGATATTTTCTTATTTCTTATTAAAGTCTCGTTTTTGAAAACGTGATGGAATTGGGAATTCTTTTTGAGTTTTTTCTCATCAGGAACGCTAGCCAAAGTCAGAGGGATACAGTTATAACGTAAGAAGCAAACAAAAGATTAGCGAGACAAACCCCCACTATGGCCAAGTAGCAGTAAATCTTCGCATTCTCTAAGGGATTAAGGAGTAACAACATCTCCTTAAAGAATTGTAAGCCATGCGAGCCAAAAAATATTCACAAGACATTGCCTTGCGTGGAGCATAAAAAAGCTCAAGACTCTTACAATTAGCAATCAATTTTTTGTACTTCAGACACGTCCTCATAATATGGATGATCAGTATGAACACCTCCATAGACATAGAGAATGGCATTGAGAGAATCAAAATATATAACCGCTTGTTTAAGATTCAGGCTCAAATGCAGTTTTGCACCATATTTAATAGCTTTGATTTTTCCAATAATAATTAGTAGATGGCCCAAATTGCAAAGAAAACCACTCAATCACTCGCTTTCAAGGTTTTGCGCTAATCCACCACAAGTTGAACAAATTTGAAATTAAATTGAGGAAGCATCAATATCTATTTTGAGTGTACCTTGCACTGATGGAACCCATTTGTATTCATAATCGTCTCTTGGAGTGTCATGTGGCAATTTGATGCTCTGAGTCTCTTTCCTCCATCAATTTTCTTCTACAAGCATGTAAGAGGAATAAAGAATTCAATCAAAACAAGATGCACATGACAAGGTACAAAGCCTGTGACCAGAAATGAATGATATCATATCTTAAATCAAAATATTAATATTTGAGTTTATAAATCCATTCATTTTATTTTATATTGTTTATTAAATTTAATTTTATGAAGGTGCTATTAATTCCACAGCTTTTTATTATAATTCCACAGCAATATAAGCATTAAGAATTTTATGGGAATTACTTCCATAGCCTTTTTTTTTTTGACCAACCATACCTTTTTATATTATTTGATAATAGTGAATGACATATTATTAAAAAAATGCAACATATAATAAAGATAGATATCACCAAATTAGATTTGAATTTTTAAATAATTTCTAAAAGGCATGGTATTGGGAGAATAAAATATGTTATTTATATTTTTATTGCATTATTTAAATTTTTAATAAACAATGGAGTAACAACTTATAAATGACAGAGGAATGATTTGCCCCTAATTTAGGTCAAGTAGTACCATTGATTTTGAACTCATTTATTATATAAATTATTTCTTTAATTTTTGAAATAATGTAATGTGGTCCCTACTATTAACAAAACTTAACTTCAACTGTTAAAATTATAGAAATGACCTCAAAAATTATAAAAAAAAAGACTTAAAAATTTCAATAAAAGACCAAAAGTTATAGACAGTGATACAAAAAATTAGAAAAAATAACTAAAAAATTTTTTAGTCATTTTCTATAATTTTTTAGATCATTTTTTGATTAATTAATTATTAAATTTAACTTTGTTAATGACAGAGTTCAAATTACATTGTTTTCAAAAGTCGAGAGAACAATTTGCACGTTAAATATGTTTAAAGGTCTATGGTGCATTTAGATCTAAAATTTAGAAAATAATTTGTTTATTTACCCAAATATAAATTTAAATATTTTTATTTATGCAGTTTTAAAATTATTTATTACCATTTTAATAATGTAAAATTAATTATGGTGTATGTTGCCATACATTTTGTAATAAAATATATTGTTTTAATTTTTATATAGGGTTAATAAGCAAAATAGACTCTTAAGTATTGCATGAAAAGTGCCCTGGATATAAACTCTTAAAATATACAAAATGAACTCTAAATTTTTAAATTTATAGTAAATTAAACCCTAGAATTATATTTTTGTTAATGTTGCTATTGTTCACCGTTACTATTCCTTATAGGCCCTAATTAAATGTTGATGTGGTGGTCTCTTGCTGATGTGCATTTGTTAATTAACACCATAAACCCTATACTATTACATGAGTAGTTCTAGACCTTAAACTTTGAAATTTCGAGCAAATTACTCCTACTATTTATGTATAGAACATTGACTATTATATAAACTAAATTAGCTTTAGTATGGTGTAACATTCTAGAAATTTAACTCGAATAACTAAGCTTAATGAGGGTAAGTAAGTTTATTGATATGTTGTGTGGTCAAAGAGGCCTAATTAGTGTGTTTGATTGTAATTTCAGCATTAAATGCGAGTCCAAAGTGAAGTCGGGCCATCTAGGCATCAAAAGGTGAGAAAGAACTAAAGTAAAGTCCTATGTGCCACATGTCGTGGCGTGAGGGATGTCCATCACGACGCATAGAGGCAACCAACAAAAGATGTTCTACTTAAACCAGTTCATGTCTGTTCGAAAAAATAGAAGAGAGAAGAGGGAGGAACAAAGAGTACACCCATTGCTTTTTTAGGGCATGAACTTAGACCATTGAGGACAATTTGGAGTTTCATAACATACAAGGCAAGTATATTATGCCTTCCTCATCCCTTTCCTTCCATTTTATGAGGATTTAAGTTAGGTTTGAGTTGAAATAATGATTTTCAGTCCATGTGAGCCATGGGTCCGAACCCATTGACTAAAATAGATATAATGGAAGTTGTTTAACGTATTTAAATTCCATATAAATAGTTTTGTGAGTTGTTAGACATTGAGGGCCATTAATATCTAAAAATTTGTATTTATGTGGGTTGTTAGGAGTATTTAATGCTATTAATGGTGATTGTTAACTTAGTAATGACAATATGGATTATTAGAACTTAGTAAACCTAATGGATATAATTATAAGTGAATTTATAATTTTGATGAAAGGAAGAATGTCGAGTTGAATGTTGGAAATTACTCATAAGGGGATATTGATGAATGTCCTTGTATTTGGTTGTAAATTATCTAATTTTATGCACCATTCAAGCTATTTGGCAAGCTTTGGAAGTTGTGTTTTAAGGGTAAATATTTAATCTCTCAAAGGTTTAAGGTAGCTGGGAAAAAATCTAATTTGTATAGTTGTTTATAATTTAGTTATTTGTTGAATTTAGTGATTTAGAACTTGTTTGGTGTTTGAAAACTATTGATACAAATTTTGGTAATGTGATGATGTATATGTGTGGAATTGTCTTGCATTATGGAGAACTATATGCATGTTATATATATATATATATATTTGACTAGCAATGATGATGAGAACATGATATTATGAAAATAAGAGATATGTGGTATTTGGCATGTGGAGTGTGATGTGTATGTGATTTTTGATAAGTGGATTAATTAGGAGACTGAAAGAAAATTGTGTGAGTTAATGTAATATGTTGAATTATGTTAAAAATGACATAGTATATGTCAATATGTGTATAACATGATCATTTACAAGAGTTTTTCCTAAGAAGAGGAGTAGATTGGTAAATCCGCATGGTAGTGGCAACTTATCGTTAGAATTGAAAGCTTACCTTGGCACCGACCATTGGAATTGAGAGGTAGCCATTGTCTCATAGTTGATTTAAAACTGTCTTACTTATTCTTTAAGGGACTAGAACCTAACTAGTCTCTATCGTTTCATGAGAAGGCTAGATTAAGGGTACGACACCCTATGGTTGTTAGTATTAGGGAAACTGCTGTAAATAAGTGAGTAAGTTAATCCTAGCCTGGCAGCTCCTCACAAAGTGGAAGGTTGATTTAGTCTAAGTTAAGGATACAACTATTGATAACCACTGGTTTCACGTTGGATGTAACATGGGGTATAAGATTGGCATTGATCATGCATTTAGTTCTCGTCACATGGTTATTATTATTGTGATTCAGTATGTTGCAGGGGCACATGGTTATTA